CCTGCCCCATTCCACGGTTTCCACCCTCATGGCCTCGTTATGCCTGGTGATGTTTTGGTGCATAAACAGCCAATGTGTAGATGCTTCATTGGGTGGATTTTTGGTCACATGCCCAGAGCTGAAGTTGATGATCTCTGCCAGGGTCAGGAAGGAATTCCCCTCCTCTGGCAAACTGGCCAAGCCTGGGTGATTTGCTCCTTCCCCTCTCTCTCTCTCTGGAAGGCTGAGCAGAGGTGCCTGGTTGATCAGGCCATGGGCACCACACCTGTGATTGCTGCCTCTGACTCGTGTGCGGGCAAGAAGCCCGTGGGCCTGTCCCTCTGACTGTGCGGACCCTCCCTGTGCACACCTGGTGAGTGAGCCGGCTCTCAGAAGGGTTAGGAAGCCCGTGGCGGCATCGGGGACCCAAGCTTCCCTGTTGTCACTGTTTCCTTCTGAAAGGCCCCTGCAGCCAGCCTGTCTTGCGCGTGAAGGGAACCCACTTGATTCCTTTTCCTTGTGTGGATTGTGCTTGAGGCTTTCCTACTTCCTAGGCAGCTTCAATGGTAGTTGGGGAAACGGATTCTAACAGCTGGGGGTGTGTTGATGGGCAGCGAGTGAAGATCCAAAGTGCTTAAGGGACCTGGCTGGCCCAAGCAAAGAATTTTGTCCAGGGCTCACTGCTGAAAGTAGTGGACCTAGGAGGGAAGAGAGAAGAGGAAATCGGGACACCTTGGCAGAGCTAAAACTTTAATAGCCATTTGTAGTGATTGGATTTTAGTCCAATTTAATGAGTTTGCTTGACCACACTACCCAGTGTAACCGACAGGTATGCTATGTGCGTGCGTGTGCATGTTTCGATGTGTTGGTCCATTACGGGTGGGTGCCTGCGAAAAATCCTGGAGCCAGAGCACATCTCAGAGTCCCCCTGATCGATGTGTTCATTAGGTAAATGCAGAACGGAGTCACAAGACGCAGAATCATGACTCCCAGCCCCATGCTCTTTCTTTTATGACAAACCAGCCAGGCCTTCCAAAAACAGAAATATGTGCCTAGAACAGCAGGCCTAGGACCCTCCCTGGATCTCCCCTCTTGTCCTGCTGCTGACTCGAGGTCTCAACCATTTTTTCATTGTCGTTCCCAACTGAGGAGGCTTTTTAGATACTTCTGCTATAGTCATTACCCCACATAGATGTCTTTACAGTGTATCATCTAGGTACTGTGGCCCTTTAGAAGGTCATGGGACGTAATAAAGTCTAAGATTGTTTTTGACCCCCAAGACCAATTTTTCCCCCTCTAGGATCAACGTCAGCCCCACTGGAAACGTGTGGTCAGACCTCCAGCCTGGGTCTATACGTTGTCGGACCTCAATGTACTAGCTAAGAAATGAGGCCCCAAACAGCTCTTCTTTCCTCCCACCCTCACCCTGTTCCACCTACTGTAAAGAAATTTTAAGAGCTAAAATGTTCAATTATTGCAAGGACTTTCAAGGGCCTACGAAGCTAGGCAACTGAATACAAAGCAGCCATTATTTCTGAACTCTCATGCCTTGTGCATTCTGGCTAAGTGGCCAAGGTCTTTTTGTGGGAAGCCCAGAGTTAATAATACCCTCTCCAACCATAATAGCAGAAAATAAAAAAATAAAACATAAATCTGCTGCTTTTAAAAAAGACATCCCCCCCCACAAGAAGCAAAAAATAATTACAGGGGAAAAATAGCCCTTGGTGCACCTGAGAGAGCCCTTTAAGAAACCATAATGGATATAATTTGTCATAGAAGGGATTACCAAGGGGAATCAGATCCGGTGCTATGTACAGCAGTAGGGAGATTGCAGGACAAGAGAGTAGGTTGGTGTAAAGAGGAAAAGAAAAAAAAGAGAGAGAGAGGAAAAGAAATCCTTAAAAGAGATAAATACCTATTGGTCAGAAATATTCTTAATTTTTTTGTGACCCACTTCAATTTACCAAATGACTTTTGAAAGCTGTTTACATCAGGCGTAAGTGAGGAAGTATTCACTCCTTCTGTTGTATTTTTTATCTGGAGGATTTCTAGTTGATGGGGAAGACCTGGGGCCAGTTCTATTTTCTTCCATATGGAGTACACCCCTCCTTTCTCCAAGCCCCCCGCCCCCTATGAAGGCCATTTCAGAGGCAAACCATCTTCTTCCCCAGTTTTCTGCGACTTTGCCTTTAGCCCTCACTTAGGGGAGCTTTCCTGAGGTCATATCCAGAATGCAGAGGGCAGTTTTAGGTTTCAGGGCCCCTTCCCTCCCTTATAACCTCCCATCCCCATCCCTCTTCATCCTACCTCCAGCTCAGGATATAAAACCAGTCAATCCGTGGGAAAATCAGAGTCCAAACTCAGGCAGCCTTGACTTCTGTTTGATATGGCCCCCAAGGGGAGATCCATGAACACGATAATCCAGCAGGCAGGTTAACCCTCTCTGGGCGTCAGAAAGGAGGCTTCCCAGTGGGGTCTGGTGACTCTCCAGTGATGGCCCAGAAAGGGTGCCAGAGTGTGAGAATTTGAATTTGATTGTTTCTCTATGTCAGGAGCACAGTTCTCATGCACGTTTGATTAAGAAAAGGATGGTACATTTGCAAGCACCCCCAAAGAACCGGTCTTTGATTCTGGAATCCCTGCCCTTCTCAGTATTGAGATTCCATCTGATGTGTAAGTGTGTTAGGGATGTGTCTGTAGGTAGATGTGACTGTGAGTGTTACTAGAAAAAGAAGCAGATGGGCCAAAATTCAGGAACCTTACGAACTCTCTACAATATAATGTTGATACCCATTGGCTGTATGACCTTGAAGGAGTTACACAAATTCCCTGGGCCTTAATTGTCTCAACTATACAGTGATGGGGTGAAGGGAAAAATTGGACTGACTCTGGAGTTTCCAACATGTGGCACTCACACCACTCATGATACAGGAAATAGATCTGGTCAGGGGGATGCTCCCAAGGGAGCCTCCCAGGGGTAGGCAAACTTTTACTTCAAGGGCCAAATAGCATTTTAGGATATACAGGCCAAAAGTCAAAATCAATTATATTACATGGGTACTTCTATGACCATTCACTATGTAACTATTTACAAATGTAAGATCATTTTTTAGTTGTGGACTTTTCAAAAATGGATGATAGGTTGGATTGGGCTTGTAAATTATAGTTTGTTAACCTCTAATTTAGGTGGTGTATAGACCAACCATGTTTGTTTGTTTGTTTGTTTGTTTATGAAGATTTTATTTATTTATACATGAGAGACACAGAGAGAAGGCAGAGACATAGGCAGAGGGAGAAGCAGGCTCCTTCAGGGAGCCTAATGTGGGACTCGATCCTAGAACTCCAGGATCAAGCCCTGAGCTGAAGGCAGATGCTCAAACACTGAGCCACACAGGCATCACTTTAGTGTGATACAAAGTTTTTCTTTTAAATAGATGTATTTATGTTAAAACAGAGAGGGAATTGTTGCCTTTTTTTTAGCATATTAAGTAAATTATTGGGATGGTAGACAAAAGGCTAAAGTTGGCAAAACAATGAACTAGATGATTAATAAGCTCCCAGCCATCTAAAAATTCTATATGCTTAATATCCCAAGATCCAGAATCCAGTCTCTGTTCTGACATTTAACCTACCAGCTGTGTGATCGTGAGCTGCTGGGTCCCTTTTGCAAAATGGGGGTAGAAGCTCCCTACCTCATCAACATTATTGTGATAATCAGAAAAGAGAAGTTGGGTAAACAGATTTTTCTAATCTACCAAACATGAATTCATTTTTCCCCTGAATTATGGGAATATGAGAAGCAGCAAACTTGAAAGATGGGACCAGCATGAGCAAGAATGCACGTGAGTGAGGGCCCCAAGCCCATTCCGTTTTGCCCTCTTCCCAGCTTCAACCAGACACCTTCTCTCAAATCTTCCTTCTCACCAGTGTATGCAGGGCGTAGAGCCCTGCAATTAGGATCATGACTTCCTAAGTGGATAAACCTGAGTTGTTACCCAAACTCCACTGTCTGCCAACTGGGTGCTTTGGGGTATGTATATTACCCAAAATTTTAGAGCATCCATCCTCATCACTAAAACATAACCACTACCAGAACCTGTCTCAGAGTTTGCTCCGAGGAGACCAAAGTTGTAAAGTGCTCAGCACAGAGCCCAGAGTGTAGTAAGTATATGTTCCAATTATCATAGGTCCTCAGTCCCTGAACCAAAACCCTGGGGCTAGATAGACTCAGAATTCAGAATTTTTCTGGTATTAGGATGGTTATACAGTATTTATACTGCAGGATACACAATACTCTTCTCAAGGTATTCCTTTTCGGAATCATAGGAATCATATGTATTGTATGTATCATATGAATATTCATCAAGTAGAATAAATAAAACTACAGCATATTGTAATGTATATTTGTATAAAATGTTGTTCATATACATATATGTGTGTGTATATGTTTAGCATATGGTTTACATGCCTGTATATAGATATATGGATATAATACACATGTAATTATATAAAAGTATTTCACATTGATTTAGGACTGGTTTCTGTTTCATTTTATTTTTGCTGGGGAATAAGTTTGCAAATACACACAGATTTCAGAGCTTTTGGACTTCAGAATTGTGGGTAAGAGTTTGGGGTGTCTTGCCCAGCCCTCAGAAGCATGTGGTTAAATGTTATAAGTTCAGGGGTCAGATGTGAGCCAGTAGGAAAAGTAAAGAAGGAGGCAGTATTGCATTGTAAGAGCCTCCATGTCAAACCCTGAGCTTTGCCACTTACTGGCCGTATTGCGTGGGCAACTGTCTCAACCGCACGGTCTAGGTTTTCTTGTATATAAAACAGGGACAGATGTACATACCTTATGGGATGTGGCAAGGATTGAATAACGTCATTGTGTCAAGCACTTAGAGGGGTGCCTGGCTCCTAGGAAGCTTCATGATTGCTATTAAAAGCCAAGCGTGCCCCCCTGGGGGCTCCTGAGGTGTGGCCCTTATCTACCTCCTCACAGTCCTCTCCTGCCATTGTAGGGTGATGTTGGACTCAGTGACACACAGTACCTTCCTGCCCAACACGTCCTTCTGTGACCCCCTGATGTCGTGGACTGATCTGTTCAGCAATGAAGAGTATTACCCTGCATTTGAGCATCAGACAGGTGCGTAAGTCCAGACAAACCCATCTGAGCTGGGAAGAGCTGGAGCAGGAGGTGGCTCGGGCCTCCAGGAGGCAGCAAGGCCACTCTGGGGGCCTGAAAATGCCAACTCTCGCCGGTGTTCAGGGCAGAGGATGGGAGGAGGCCTGGGCAGCAGAAAGGCAGCTTCTGCAGAGGCTAAAGCCCCAGAATCCTCACCCCGACCTCCTCCCAGCCCTGTGGCCTTGGGGGACTCCACTAACATCTTCAAGCCTCATTTTGCTAACAGATGATAATACCAATCTCTGGGAGTTATTATATTTAAGCAAGGTAGTGGAAAGAAACCTTAGCCCAGAACCTAGTACGCCATGATTGCTTGGCCATTGTGATTTTAGCTAACATTTGCTGAATGCAGCTGTGGTTCGGGCCCTGTGTCAAGCACCCATCCCATCCTTACAGAAGCCCTATGAGAAATGGACAATTATTATTTCCACTTTATGGATGAAGAAACTGAGGCGCAGAGAGGTTAAGTGACTTTTCCAGGGTCTCATGGTTAGTTAAGTTTCATGCAACTTGACGTGAGCATCGGTACTCCTAACTATCCTACATAGTCATCTTATAAATGAGGTTACCCTGTGGTCACAGGGTTATTGGTGTTGGTTAATATGACTGTTTTTCTCTGAGTTTCTATCTCCTTATCCCTAAAGCAGGGATGATGAGAATCACTGTGAGGATTAAGGGAGCCAAACTGTGAAAAATTATAGCTTGGCCCAAAGCAAGTGCTCAGGAAACACGAGTCCCTGCACTGTCCACCAGGCCACCCTCCCTTCCTCCTCTCTCGGCCGGCCTTCTCCACCTAAAAAAGGAAGCGTGGGGCCTTGTACAAATCCCATGCCAAAGGAGAGATTGCCCCAGAATCTCTCTGAGGGCCTGTGTCCCCAGGTGCTCCGGCGACTGCACATGACGGCAAGCCTGGCAGACTGCTAGCGCAGCAGGTGCACGCCCCGCCCGAGACTGGTGATGCAAGTCCTAATCAAGCTGTCAGTCCTCACGGGCCCTTAACCCCATGCATCCCAGATTGGCATGGTCCACACTCACGGGCAGGAGGCAGGTGGGTCCAGGAGAGGCCAAGCCTCTGAGGATGTTGCAAAGTTTCCCCCACCAGAAGGAAGCCCCTGCCTCTAGGCGGGAGGCCAGGGCTGCTCAGCTCCTCTATACCCAGTCCTGCACCTGCTCCCGCCACCAACACATGCCTACACGCACCCACCATGACTTCTCTCACCCTATCTGCAGGGTCCTGAGTCAGCCAGAAACATACTCCATTTCTCCTTTAGGCCTAAGAAACACTTTGATTCCCAGAAAGATGATGAAGGATGTCCTCTATCTCTGCCCCTCTATATTTGGTTAAGGCTCAGTTTGAAGGAGGAAAGTGAAGGCTCTTGTGTCCCCACTCTTTGCCCATATGTCCCATGATGGCAGGGCCCAGAGCAAAGGTCCTTTTCTCCATGCATGCGTGACCCAGATCTGCCATCCTGGAAGTCGCCTCTTCCTGCCTACACTGCCAGGGGGCAGTTGGCGTGATGGCAGGAAAGGGATGGCCTGCCTGCCCCAGGGGAGTGTTTCAGGCATTGGAGCAGCTCCTGTAGTCATGGAGAGCTCAGACTTTGGAGCCGGCCATCCTAAATGCAAAGTCTGGCTTTGATATTTAGTAACCGTGCCATCGTAACTTCTCGTGCCTTAATTTTCTCATCTGTAAAATGGAGATAGCAGTAATGCCTACCTGATAGAATGGTTACAGGGGTGGTTTGTCAATATGAGGGAAGCGTTGGGGACACAGTCAGGCACAGGACAAGGACTAATTTCAGCCTGGGGAGGTGCAAAAGTCCTGGAGACGGACAGAGGTGATGGTTGCACAATAATGTGAATGGACTTAATGCCACTCAACTGTATACTTAAAAAGGATTAAATGGCAAAATTGATGTCTATTTTACCACAATAAAAAAAAAAAAACAATGAAGGGTTAACAGAAGCCATCACCTGTAGGGGCTGATATCTGACACAGCTTTCTCCTGCCCTCGGCCTCTACATTTCCACCAGGGTAAGGAGAGGCTGGGCCCCGTCATTGCTAGGACACTTTCCAGAAGCTTCTCTGATTCCTGCATCACAGATAAAGCCTTCTTTTCCCACCACCCACTGAGAGAATACAAAGTCCCACCGAGGTGTGAGGCCGATGAAAGAAAAGTATCCTGCGGAAGGAGCACTCCCTAAGGGAGGAGGAGCCTGGCTTTTGACTTGCCACTTGGCTCTCTGGGTTCCAAGGAGCTGAGGAGCTCTGACCTCCAAAGGAGGTCAGAGAAGTTGGGCGTGAAAAGGTGGTTGAGAGCTGCCTGGGCACTGGGTGGGCCCTGTGGGCCCCGGCTCTCCTCGGAGCCCCACCGGTGAGGGGAGTGCCCGTGTATTTTCTCTTTGAGAGGTGATCCTTCCATCTGTGTCTGCACAGTCCCCTCTGAGAGGGTTGCCACGGGGGACAGCCAGGTCTGCCTCTGCACACCACCCAGGCTCTGTGGCCAGTGAGACATCTCCTCCGCCCCACACAGCAGATCCCATCTTGAAGCCACAGCTGTCCCCGCGGGAGCCTCCTGTCCCAGTGTGGGTTCCAGGGCTGGCGTTGCCACTGAACCACTGGCACCGTGACCTTGACAGGCTTTTCCTAGTCCCTCTGACATACACTTTCCCAACGGGAACAGTATTTGTCTCCTAGGGTTGGGAGGACTGATATTCCACACACAAAGTGTTCCGCCAAATGCCAGGCACTTAGTAGGCGCTCACCGTTGCCAGGAACACCTCGTGACTCCCAGTTAGTGGAAAAACAGCTCACACTCTCTCCTCTTTTCATTTATCATATCGAACAAAAGCCACAAAGGTCCCCGTCTCCTCCTTTCCATTTCAGAGCTGGACAGCTCAGCTACTTTGAGACCAAGGGGAAAGGAGGGGAGAAAGAAATGCTGTGCCCACTAGACAAACGACGTGTCCAACATGGCAGGGAGAAATATCCACGTAGTCAGGAGAACTCACTGTTTTCACAACCTTTTCAAACTCCTTTAGCGGACAGCCGCTGAGTCTGTGCCTGCCACGCGCTACCCACAACGGATCTGACCTGCCCTTTGAGCAGGACTTCTGTGTGGCCGCACCGCAGGCCGGGGAGTAGACGGCCACAGGCCACAAAATATTCCAGAATTTCATTAACTCACCCTGGGGTTCCCTTCTGCTCTCCTAAAACAAAGAATTGCAAATCCTGGAAACTTTTACCCAAGTGTGCAGGGCAGGCCGCCTATAGTTTACAAGCGTACGATACTTTGTGAAGATTATATTCCTCGACTCAAGTTCTGACAAGTCATGGAGTATCCCAGCCTCACACCTCGTTTCTGGCACTCCACCCTGAACCTCCACACGCCCACACATCCCTCCCCTGTTGGCCAAGGTGACCATGCCAACCTGTGGTGCCCCCTTTGCTTTGGATTCTGGTTTGTAAAATGTCTGCGGCTAGGCGGCTAGCTCAGGGGAAGTTCTAGGGGCTCCTGAGAGGTCCCATAAAGGAACCTGGGGACCTGGGACCTGGGGACCTCTCCATCCTCATCCTCACGCAAGTCTCTTGCATCTTGAAGACAGTACAGTGCAGTGGTCACTAGTGCACGGCTGCAGCAGCTAAAATACCCCCATAGGTATTTTACTCCTGGCTCTGCCACTTACCCACAGGACCTAGTGGCACTGCATGGGGGATGACATGAGCACAGCGTGCAGCATCCACTCAATCCCAGGTGCTCCGCCAAGACTTCAGCTACTGCTGCACCATGGGAAATCTTATTCAAAGAAAGCAGTTTATTTGAAAAGGTACAAAACCTTTGGGGTATCAACATCCAGAAGATTAGGGGAGAGGCATTTGAGTCCCACGTGGGCTTTTCTGAGCAAGATTCGTGTGCTGGGTATAGAAATCTGGGAGCACACGCGAGAGAGTCAAAGAATTTCTAAATCAAAACCAGATAAAAGAAAGAAAGTCCTTGAAAAGTGTGAGGTGAGCCTGTGGCAGCGGGCTCACCCCCAGGGAGAGACCTCACTGCTCACTACCGCCAACCCACCCCACACATACCTGAGCCTTCTGGGCAGCTGTGGCCTCAGGACCACGCAGGGCCTGGTGCTCCCAGCGCCTTCCCAACCCCACACGCCTCAGGCCATCGCTCTTTGCTGTACCCACCAGCCCTTCCAGTCTTTTCTCCATCCAGTTCCTTACACTGGTCCGGGCTTCCCTCCCATTCCACCACCATCTCATGGGCTAAATCATTCCACAGGCTTGGAAGGAATGCCAAGAAGGGCTGTTGGATGGAGCTCGACCATCTCTGGGTGGAAGCCTGGAAACAATTTTTCACTTCAGGAGTTCCCCCCCTCCCCATAAAGTCCTTCCTTTCGGTGACAAAGCCACAATTGATGGTGCCCCGTGCTACCGAGGCCACTCACAGGCTCTCTTCAGTGCGGCCCCAGGCAAAAAACTTTCCCAACTCCCTATGCTAATAAATCACACTAATTACGGTCCAGGCTGTCTAACTCGGGCCTCCTCTGACCCAGACTGTCTGCCTCCCCACGCCGAGCCCTGGGCTGGCTTTGTTCTGCTTGTCCCTCAGCTAGACCAGGGCTCCGGTGGGGGAAGGCCTCATTTCCCTGAGAACAAACGCCGTCCCGAAATAGTAACGAATTACAGGTGACTTCTATTGAAGGCTTACTGTCGCCCAGATAGCTGGGCTAAGCCCTTTACAGGTACCATTGCTTTTCCTTCTAACAGCAAACTTCCTACGAGGTAGGCACTGCTATTATTCTTGTCTTACAAGGAGGAAACTGAGGTCCAGAGAGGTTAGGAAACCCTGTTAGGATTGCACAGCTAAGATGTTGAAGAGCCAGGCAGGACTGCAAATCAGGAAGGTCCATTCCATAGCCCACACTCAGTTAACTCCACGATCCTCAAGTCCCTTCCA